CCGCGGTCGACTACGTGGGAGTCCAGTGACATAGCCATTACGCTAACTGCTGGTTCCCATGTTCTTTTTCTTCATAATCCTGCTTTCTCCCCTTATTGGAACAATTTCTACTGATGACCTTATATTTCCTATCACAGTTTTTGGTGCCACAACTAGAATTTCAACTCTTATTATCTAAGACCTCTGCTGTTTGATACCATAGGTACTAACCATTGAAGTTTAAGATCATTAAAATTAATTAAAATTAACTTTAACTCGGGACCACCAGATGGCATAATGGCTTTGTCACTGGACTCCCATGTAGTCGACCGTGGTTCAAGTCCTAGACCCGGTGGCTTAACTCATGCTGAGCATGTGTGTGTGCATGCCCAAGATCCCGAGAGGAGAATGGAGGAGAAGGGATTGTGGCTTGGCCATCCCCTCTGGGGGGTGATTTCTCGCTTTCTGTCTCTCTATCTCTCTGGCGAGTGCACGTGCCCTATAGCAAAAACCTCCAAAAAAAAATAATAAAAATAAAAAATAAAAAATTTACTCTCCCAGCTACACTAATCGCCTTTTAGGTACTTAGCAGCCTCAGGTGGCTAGTAGCCACATATTGGACATTGCAAGTATAAAACATCTTCATTACTGCAAAGTTTGATTGGACAGAGCAGTTATAGAAGCCATAGTTCTGACTTTGAGTTTTAACATTGGGATAAACTATGAGTTCTTGAGTCCAGAAAACTCCTTTAAATTTTCTGACACAGGATTTTATTTTTGCCAGAAGGTGCACGAACTTGCCAGTGAGAGATGGAAGGAGAGGGAAAGTGAGAAAGCATCCCTCCCCCCGCCCCCATGAGGCTGATCATGTCACAATCTGTTTTCCTCCATTCTCCCTTTTGGGATTTAGGGCACGCATACGCACATGCCGAGTGTGTTTCTTAAGCCACCGAGTCTGGGATTCAACCCAGTCAGTTCGTCACATAGGATCTGGGATCTAGCTGCTTTCATCACCATGTCACTGCCTGGCTCAGTACTTTATATTTCACAGTGATGTAGGTTGCAAAGGGCATTCACATAAGTTATTTCACTTGACTCTTTAAGATAATGCTATGAAGTAGGGAGGATAGACAAATGGAATAAAACTGTCATATTAACCAGATGCCAGAACTAGGACTATTTGTGTTTTGAGCACCATTACAGCTGATCTTTCTTCAGTGATGAGTGATAGTACACTCATTTGGGAGAGTTGAGGGGACTGTAGTAGGAAGCCCTGCACTGGAAACCCACGCTCCCTGTTTGTGGTATAGATATCCTAAAGGGTTGGCATCAGCAGCTATAGCTTCCTTTCCTTAGAAGCCTGCTAAGAACTGTAGCACGGTAACCTTGACAGCTTTATTAAAATGTGGTTGAACAGAATTAATGGTAAAGAGATGATAAATGGTAAAGGTAGTAAAGGATAACAAGTGAAAAAATCAGTTATGGTGGTGGCCGATGTTGGTAATGATGGAAGGTTTAGAACCATTGTATTTATTTCCCAGTGCTTTGACTTGGAGTCTTCTTGGGAATAGTTACCAAGCCCACCAACACTAATCGTTAATAGTGAGTGAGTGGATAAAGTCACCTGGCTAAAGAACATGTTTATAATGCTTTAAGGATCAGAGTATTTCCACAAACTTTGCTTTAATCCTCTGTTTTTATCATTTAATTCTTTAATTTGTAGCTGTGGAGTAACTGTTATCCCCCTTTTACCCGCAAGTTGTTGGTAGCTTTCTTGTGATCATTTAATAGGTGTGCGTTGGGATTAGGACTGAAATGTAAGTCTTCTGATTTTTAAGTTCTATGTTCTTTCAATTGCGAATTACTTTTCCTCACATTTCTGCTTCCTTTCTTATCCTTCAGTAAACCTACTTATACTCCTACTCTGCAGTTTTTCTTGGGGCTGAATGCCTGGAAGACAGAGCTGCTGGTCAGGCATTAGATAAAAGTTATTAATTGGTATTTGTTCAGTTCTATATGTTAGGTATTTTGCATACATTGTCAGATCGGCAAAATCAGTGTTATCCTAAGTTTACAGAAGAGGAAGCTGATGTAAAAGATTTCACATTTCTTTGCAATAAGCTTAGCTTTGGTGCCCTAGAAGAACAGCAAGCCTAGCACCTCTGATTTTCAAGTAGTGTGTACAGATTATGGAATTCTTTTTATTGTAGTTGTTGTAACTTTAGCTACCAAATGTTTGTTGATGATATCCAATCTCTACCTTCTCTGCTGCACTCAGATCCATAGTTTCATTTGGTTTCCAGCCATTCTCATCTGTTTTTTTCCACAATTAAATCAAGTAGGTCTAAACTGGAACTCATTTCCATCTTCCCCAGAGCTCCTTCTACTCCTCTCCCAGGTAAAAACCATGCCACCTATTGTCCCAAGCTGAATAACTCAATGTTGCTTATCCCCTCTCTCAATTTGGCTATCTAGATGATAACCAAAAATTGTAATTCTACCTCTTGAATCTCTCTTAACGTGTCTTTTTCATCCTTGCTTAGTTTAATAACCTCCACAGTGGTTTCCTAGCTTCTAGAGTAGTCTTCATTCTCAGTCATTCCACCCTCAAAAAAATGACAGTTGTCTAGTTGAAAATGATTAATAGTGTTTGGGAATATTTGTTTTTAAGGCCTTTTTTTTTTTCTGTGAAAAGTTGGAGAGCAAAAGATGTTTGGGGGGACACTGATACATGCATACAAACCTACTTGTAATGAATATTTTTTTAAAGAGGTTTTTTTCCTTAGAGTATGTATGATCACTGGAGAGACAGACAGAGGCAGTGAGAGGGAAAGTGAGGAATCCCCCCCGGATGGGAGGTAGCCACACCACAATCCCTTTTTCTCTATTTTTCTCCCATTGGGATCTTGGGTATGCATGCACATGTGCCGGGTATGATTTTCAAGCCACTGAGTCTGGGACTTGAACTGCTGTCGGCCGTGTGGGAGTCCAGTGACCTAACCGTCGGCCATCTGCTGGCCCCAATTTTTTAATTAGTAGAATCCTTCTTTTCCTAGTGTTGTAATATCAGAGGGGTCATTGGGGAGCTCCAGTGGCCTCATTTGTGAAATGAAGTAATTGGAAGTAATTCTCGAGGTGTTTATAGCTCCGAAATTATTTATGTTATAGTAATACTAAACAAAGTTTTCTTTGTGGGACGGTTACCCTCTCTGGTAGCAGTGTAAATTACAACTAATTATTTTAAGTTATACTACATTAATTGTAAGGTAAAAAAAAAATGACCAGTGGTAGAAGATAGGGAAATAGTTGCTAGTGTAATTTTTTCCCCTCAAATTTTGGAGTGATGTTTGTGAGAAGGGAGAGAAATTTAAGTCTCTTAGCTGATAAGATATTATCTACAAATTCAAGCAAACTAATAAAAATCTTTTCTACTCCTTTTGGTTTTTGAGTATACAATGTGTACTGAAATGAGGTACTTGGAAAATAATCCTGCTGCTGCCTCTCAGCAACAGCATCCTATCAGGTACCTGCACAGCGGTTGTCCACTACGCTGATAGCAGAGTGATTTGCATTTTTTTTTTGGAGAGGTTTTTTCCACTATAGGGCTCGTGCGCTCGCCAGACAGAGACAGACAGAGAGACAGAAAGTGAGAAATCACCCCCCAGGGGGGATGGCCACGCAGCAATCCCTTCTCCTCCATTCTCCTCTCCGGATCTTGGGCAGGCACGCACACGTGCCTGAGAATGATTTGCATTTTTAAAGCACACCACAACCCTGGTGGTGTCTTTTAGGGACACATTCTTAAAGACTTTCGAGAGCTGTGTGAGAGCAGATAGACATCCCCAGCGATAATAATTGCCAAATGTTTTCACCGTAACTGTGACCACTGGGAGACTTGTAGTATAGCCTACCAGATGGCTTTGACCAGGCAGTAGATCCCATTTCCTTTAAGGTGGAAGAACTTGGTACCCGGTAGGGGGTAGAGATAGTAGTAGATTGGCCTTTGATTTGTGTTTTCTTTTCAAATAAACTTCAAAAAGTAATTACTCTAAAAGTATATTCATATACATAACACGTGTGTGCATGCTGTCACTTTGACCTTATGGGTTTTTAAAATGGGTTATTTTCAATTATATTTTGAAATTACTGAGAATACTAACGGACTGCTTCCTTTTCCAGCTCAGAAGATAAAATAACAATCCACTTTATAAACCGTGACGGTGAAACATTAACAACCAAAGGAAAAGTTGGTGACACTCTGCTAGATGTTGTGGTTGAAAATAATCTAGATATTGATGGTTTTGGTGAGTATAGAACAATTCTTAAAATTCGTAAGTGAAATTTTTGGATAGGTTTCCACTTTCTGTTTTTCTTTGAAGGATTTTAACCAATAGCTTGATAGGTAAACTATTAAAGCTGAGTTATAGAATCACTTTACAGAACCTTTAAATGTGCAGACATCTGTGATTCACCCAGTGTACAGGGAGAGAAGGAAATGTCTCAGGTATATTTTTAGAAAGTTTTTAGAAAACTCCAGATCCATACCATGATTAAGGGCTCATTGGTAATTTATATATACTGTATATTCTGTTAAACTTACTAATAACCTCATGAGTTTAGTCATACTTTTAACTGAGTCTCATGGAATTATTCTTTCACAAACGGAAGGTGGTAGTACATTGCACAGTAATTGAGAGTAGGCTCTGGAATCAGATTATAGTTCATAAACCAACATAATGTACCAGCCATGACACCATGGGGCAAGCTACTTTAACTTCTTTATGTCTCAGCTTCCTGTTCTTTAAAAGAGGGCCAGTTATTGGGTCATTGGAAAAGTCATGATGCATTTTTGTACAGAAAAACATAAAAAAAAAAAGTCATGACTTGGCACCCAGTACTAACCTCCTAGGGTTGCCGAAGATTGAATGGGATATCATAAGTGAAGTGCTTGGCATAGTGCTCATCTTGGTGTAAGAACTATAGGATTTGGGCATCTCTATTTGGCCTACTCTCATTACCCTTCCACCCTTAGCCACAATAACTTTGAAAATCACCAACCTTGTAACTACAATGGCTGTGAAAACCAGCAGACTTAGAGCTTTTAGAAAGGCAGAATGGGGTTGAGTTACTCCAGAAGTCTCATCACCAGAACACTGTCACCGTTTGGCTGTCTCACAGCTTCTTGGAAAAGCTCCATTCTAGGCAGTGGTTACTTGACCTGCCTCAGAGGTTGCTTTGTGGGAAAGGCTCTAGCCACAGAGCAAGTGTCTAAAATTTATCAGCTGTAATTGATGAGCATTTTAGTTTCTCAAGTCTGTGATACCAGTTGGGGCACACAAGAACTTAGCCAAAAACTTAAAAGTAAATCTGGGGACTGAACTATCTAGAGCAGGCTTTGAAATGCTGTGGGATCTAGAAGGCCAGGTACTTGCGTAGAAATATGTGCATGTCCAGGATAGACCTGAGAAGGCCCCAGTCTCTCATCTCCAGCTGACTGAGATCTCCATAAGTGGGAAGTGAAGGCTAACACAGACATATGAGCTGAAAGTCAAAGGTGTGTACAGTCAATATACTAAGTACCTCAGCAGAGGGTGGAAGTCCTATTGGCTCAGTTTTTTTTTGTTTGTTTGTTTTTTTTTGTTTTTTTTTTTTTTTACTTTTTAAAGTTTTGGGTTGTTGGCAAAGTCTTAATGCATTTTTGCATAGAAAACCATAGAAAAATATGTTACTACTTTCCTGATGACCTAATATTTTATTTCTTAACTCCATGAGCAATAGAGACAGAGAAAGAGGCAGGTACCTTTAATAGTGTCTCAGTCTGCCCCAGCCTTACTTAGCCAGCTCCATATCAGGGGCACATGTGTGCCAGATGCATTCAGGGACATCTCTGGATATGAACCTGGAACTTTCCCATGTGGGTAAATTTCCCAGAATATCACATTACTTCTATACCACTGTCTGGTTCCAACTTATTTATTTATTTTTAACTTTTTTTATTAAAATTTTTTTGATTTTTAAATTGAAAAGTTTTTAAAATTTTGTCAGAGGGCATGTATGGTTGCCCGAGAGAGAGGAGGGGAGAGGGAGAAAGCACTCCTCAGAGGGGTGTGGTCATGCTGCAATCCCTTCTCTTCCATTTCTCCATTGTATCTGGACTTGGGGCATGCACTTCATTAGTTTTTTAAACCACTGACACTGGGATTTGAATAGTAGTACAGTCAAACGTGGGACCCACCTCCCTGTAACCACTGGGCCTTGGGGCTGGACCTTTTTTTAACAATGTAAATGTATTCCCTATTTTAAAAATGCCTTTAAGAAAACATTTAGAGGAGACAGCTTAAATGTCTAACAGTAGAAATGTTTAGATCCATGATAGAATTTCTAAATTAAAGGACAATATACATCCATTATGAATAATGTTCACAATGAATTTATAATAACATAGGTAGATGATTATAAATGAAAACACAATGTATTTAGTTGCTTTCATTGTTTCAGAATGCATTGAAAAAATACTAGAAGAGGTATCTGGTTTAATATTGATTATTTGATTTTGGAGTTTTCATCTTCTTTCCATTTCTCTTTTTATTTTAACTTTTTGTTTTTCTGTAGTGACTTTACTATTTTAATGCCCTGTGACTTTTAGTTACCATCTTTACCTCTGCCTCACTTTTGTTATGTGTCAAATTAGGGTAACAATTCTCTTATGGCTCTTGTAAGAATTAATTAATAAATGTGTTCAGAATAGTATCAGGCACTTGGGAAGTGTTGTAAATATTTACATTAGTGTACTTTATCCCATGAAAATAATCCTGATACACAACAAGATACTACTTCACACCTGTTAAGATGGTTATTACCAAAAAAGGGGGGTAAACAAATTGGGAAGGATGGGGAGAAATGGGAACCCTTGTGTATGGCCAATGGGAATGTAAAATGGTGCAGCTACTATGGGAAACAGTTTGGAGGGTCCTCAAAAAGTTAAATACCGAATTACCATGTGATTCTGCAGCTTTACTCCATGGTATATACTCAGAAAAATTGAAAACAGGGATTCAACGCTTACCTGTCCATTTTCATAGCATTATTTATAATAGCCAAAAGGCAGAACCTATGCAAGTGTATAGCAAAAGATGAAGGATAAACAAAATATGGTATATTAATACAATGAAGTATTTTTCAGCTATAGAAAGGAATGAAACTCTGATACATACTGCAACATGGATGGACCTTGAAAACTTTATGCTAACTAAAATAAACCAGACACTGAAGGAGGAACACTGACAAGAAGTACCTACAGAAGTAGGTTCAAGTTCATAGAGATCGAAAGTAGAATTGAGATTGCTAGAGACTGGAGAAAGGAGAAATGAGGAGTTAATGTTTAATGGGTACAGAGTTTCTGTTTGAGATGACAAAAAAATTCCTGGAAATGGTAATGATTACACAACACAGTGAATATACTAATGCCACTATATTGCACACTATGAATAGTTGAAGTGGCAGACCTTATGTGTATCACTACAGTGAGCAAAGTCATTTATCAGACACAAAAATGAAAAGTTACCCGTTATGAAAATGTATATGGTAATATCTTTGACTTGACCAATATGCACTGTAGCCACGCTGGGAAAAAAACATTTTATGTGCTGTAAAGATGTATGGTGTTTAAATGTAATTTTAAAAAATAAAAAATTTGTATAATGCTGAAAGTAAAATTCTTTTTTTTTTCTCTTCAGATTTTTTCCATAGGGTGTATGTGCTTACTAGAGAGAGAAAGAGAGGGGAAAGTGAGAAATCACTCCCCAGGGGGATGGGCGTGCTGCATTCCCTTCTATCTCCATTCTCTTGGGATTTGGGGCATGTATACACACATGCCTGGCCTATTTTTTTTAAGCTGCTGGGTCCAGGACTTGAATCTCATAGTTGGCCATGTGGAATCCAGTGCCTTCACCTACACATCAGTTGCTAGCCCCAGAAAGTAACTTTTTTTATCTGATTGAAAATCAGTACATATTTGGGGCATCAGGTGGCGTGGAGGTTAAGGCACCCGGATCCCACATGGCTGCTTGTGTGGTTTGAATTCCAGACCTTTCAAGTCCGGCCAGAGGCTTGAACATCACGCCAGGTGTGTGTGTGCCCAGAATCCCGAGAGGAGAATGGAGGAGAAGGGATCGCGGCATGGCAATCACTGGGAAGTGATTTCCCACTTTCCTTTCTCTCTCTGCGAGCACATGCACCCTATAGCTAAACTAATAAAAGAACAACAACAAAAAAAGTCATAGAGAATTTTGGAAAAAACATTTTAAAAGTACATAAAATCAATATTATCGATTATTTCTTTGCTCCCTATAACTACATTTTATGCAAATATGAATTACATAAAATAAAGTCAATATAAAAATGTTTTTTATTATAAACTTTGAAATTGTGGAATCTGTCCACATTTTTAAAATGTCATGAGATTTGCTTAATTTTGAAGCTTGACTGTTGTGAGTTATAAACCATATTTGTGCTAATGCCATATGTTGGGAAGCCACTTTAGGTGATAGAAATATTGGGTCATTGGAAAAGTCGTGACACATTTTTTCATGAAAGAACATAGAAAAGTACATCATGACTTCTTTGATGGTCCAGTGTTTCCCGATCTTTGACAGGAGTTGGTGAACCGGGCTCTTGTTTGTGTGACCTGGGAGTTGTGACAGTTATGCTGTTAGAAAAAACTTAAATCTTAATATCTCATAGCAGTGTTAGCTAAACCGTCTTTTAGTGATGGTGTGGTGCTGAAATACATCCCTAAATCAGTCACTTTGGGATGACCCCGAAAATACGATTTTTTAAAAAAAAGAATAATTTAATTTATTATTAATATTTTTAAATTTGACTGGGGAGAGAGAGAAGGAAAGTGAGAAAGCAAGCCACAAGGTCCAGGACTTGAACT